AGTTTTATAAAGTTTACCATAATTATTGCTAACAATAAGTAATATAATAAATTTTTAATTAAAACTTAAATTTTTGTTTTGAATAAAAAATTAGAAGGAATTTGTTTATAATAAAAGCACAGATAAATGAGATAAATTATGATAAATAAAAATAAATAAAGCAAGAAGATTATTTAGAATTAAATTTTCAATACTAGGATTAGCTATACTTTAAATAATGGTTTTATTCAATATCTTAAAGATTTAAAAAAATATTATTTGATGTTAAAAATTAAATTGATTCAACAAAAATCAATATAAAATTCATAATTATCTAAATTTTTTAAGGAACAGTTTAATTAAAGATTTTCAGATTATGAAAGTCATATTTTGTAAATTATATGAAAGATTAATAATTTTCAAAATCTAAGTATATTTTTGAAATATTTTATCTTTATAACTCTCTATCTTAGCCTCATTTTTTTTCTTAAGAAATGAAATAATAAACTAATTAATCTTATTAAAATATGATTTCTTTGAATTAAATTGGTACTTGTTAACTTTTTGATGCCTCTTATAATTTTAAAAATCAATTTTTAAAAGAAAAGTAATTAAAAAAATAAAAGGAAATCTTTTAATAATTTAAATATTATTTTTCTTTGATTTTTCTATTTTTCAGCATTAAATAATTTAATATTAAGATAAATTTATATTTCAAAAACTCTAAATATTATTTTTTAATTAGTTTACTTTTTATTTAATAATAAACTTTTAGAGATAAACTGAACTTTTTTAACTAATAATTTTTTTTATTGAATAAAGTAAATATTCCCATTATTAATGATAATATAAATAAAGCTCATATCTATATCAAAATCCTCAATATATTTTACAAAATTGTTTAAAATAGAAATAATTAGCAATTTTTAAGTAAAATAATATAACCATTAAATAAAATATCTATTTTCTATTGTTTAAACATTTCAATTTATCAGTTTTTATTTTAGTTTATTTGATAATAAATTAGAGCCAAATAAAAAATATTTGCATTTTTAATAACTTTATTAATAATACAAAATTAATGATAGAAAAATCTAAATTATTTCTTTTTATCAAGCCTTACAAAAAGTATATCAAAACTGATTATTAAAAAAAATCTTTAAATAATATCTAAAAATTAATTAATTAGAATCAAAACTTGTATTTTTTCCCTTTCAGTTTTCTTTATTAAATAATGTAAGCTCTAAATTTTTTTTAATTTGATAAGAATTAAAATATCTTGCTTGAATTTTGAATATTTAGTCGTTTATTACAACAATACTATTTTTTTCAATTCAAAAAATCTTAAATAATATAAAATAGTAACCTTAAAATAAAAATACTTGACTATAAGTTTTTAATTCGGTTTAAAAATTACTTAATTAATATTTATTATTACTTATTTTTCTATTCTGTTTTATTAGGTTTTGTTATAACTACTGCAGATTATTTAACAATAGTAAATTCTTTTTTATTAGCTATTTTAAAAGTTATTGTTAATTATATATCAAAACTTAATAAAAAAGAATTTTTAATATTAACTAATAGACAGTAATTGGTATATAAACCTATTTATAAATATAAAGCCAAATACCTTACTGAAAATTTCAAAATAATTTAATTTTATAGCAATTTCATCATTAAATAGTTAAAAATAGTTTTGAAAAATAATATATCATGTTAGCTATATTGATAATACTTTTTAAACAAATGGATCTTAATTAAATTACTACAAAATCTTTTATATAACTATCATGTATATCTTACATTTATTAACAAGAAACCTCGAATTATTTTTTATTATTAATTAAATAATTAAACAATAAATAAGATTAAATTTAGATCATTAAGTAAAATAAGATTAAGAAAGCTATTTCATAAAATAATGAAATAAAATTTTGTTATTTTAATTTATATATATTTTTTTTCTTTTTTCAACCATTTTAAATGCCAAAACTGCCCTTAAAGCTTTGAATACAATCGTAATTCTATAATATTTAATAAAAAAATTATTTTGACACAATTATCTATAGGTTTAAAGTACGAATATGGAATGCTTCCAATCGATATACTTCTGATACCTCAGACTAACATTTTAATTGTATTATCTAACTCTTAAAACTATTTATAATCAAGTATATTTTACATGATCGATGCTGAAACTAATCAAGTAAGAAATATAGTGGAATGTAAATATTAAAAATCTATTATAATTTTATTAATACTCTATTTCTTATTCAGTTAAAACTTAGGTATTTTTAATTAAATATGTTCCAAATATGAAGTCTGTTATTGGAATAAATACTTCTACATTTTATGTATTTGACACATACAGCATGAAAATAATTTATGAATCTAAAGTCATTGATTAAGCAATTTAAGTAGATAATTTTATAGACAACTCTATCGCTGTTATGTCTTCCTAAAATAATATAGTAATTGCATATGATATTTAATAGCAATAGATCGTTAATACATACTATTCCAGTAATATTTTTTTAATTAAATATTATTAATAAAATAAATCAAAAAATTAGCTAACAGTGTGTACTAGTTGAAGTGCATAACTTTTCCAAACAATGAACATATTGCTATTTTAAATGATAATATTTAGTTAGTTCTTTGGAATGTAGAAACAGGAGTCATAATTAATAGCATAAAAAGTATTTTTTAGATTTAAAAAGATTAATTATTTTATTGAAATATATTTTTAAAATAGCTTAAGCCTTTAGTTTAACAAATATGTTGCTCTTTCCTAATAGCTACATTCTCATTTATAATATTAATTCAACAAAAATATAATTTATTGATTTTAGCGGCTATTAATAGTAATAGTTTAAGTTAATCTTTGAATATGGTAAGTAATTTTTTGCTAAAAAATTAAATTTATAAAATATATTTAATATAGACACTTAGAATGTTTTCAAAAATTATAGCTTGGACTTTGACCCAATCAAAACTTTCATATCTTAAATATCTGTTAGCTAATAAACTATATTACAATATGATTATTTAATTATTGGGCATAGTAATGGATAAGCTATGAACTTTAAACTTCCAAAGAGTTACAATTAAAATTTCTAATTGAATTTGGCATTCGCAACTAAATTTGATTTCATAAGATTTATAATGCCAGATAATATTTTGAGCATTTATATTTGTGGATAGATAGATATAAAAGTTGTAAATTTTTTTAATGAGAACTAGCCTATAATATAACCATTACTAAGTAATTTAATTTAATTAATATAAAGTTTTTCAAAATAAACTTTTGAATGTTTTTAAAAAATGAATGATTTTATTAAAAATTTAAATTAAATAGACCTTGGTTCATCATATTTTTTAGCAAGAGTTCCTGTTTAGTATTAAAATTAGGAGTTGTATGTTTCTGCAAACTAGTTATTTAAGAATTAACTTATTTAAATTTCTGACTAATCTGGGATGTAGTAATTATTTTAGATTTAATATTCATAATTACTAAATATTTATAGCTAAAATGCTTAAATCGTTATGAATACAGATAATACTTAAGTAGCCTATTAAGTTTCAACAGGAGGTATTATGATAGTAGATATAGCAACTTAATAAGTATGAAATTTATTTAAATTAATTACATCTAAATATTTTTAATTTATTTAAAGTACAAAAATTATCACGTTCTCAATAATAATAATTGGTAGATCAGCAACAATGCTTAGTTTAAATACTATGTAATAAAAAATTCTGATCACTACAGCTATGTCTCATTAAACATTTTCGATGGATTAAAATCTATTATAGTCTTAAACTTGGATACTTAAACTGCTAATTATTACCATTCTCCGAGTCAAATATCATTAATTATTTGCTTTTTATATA